TTTTGCGCGCGGGGGTGTTAACCCTATAGCTTGTCGAGCCTTTTGGGATTGGTGAGGATTTCTCTGGCGAGCCTCCAGGTCTGTTTGGCGGCGCTCTCCAGGGCCGAGTGGGGCTTGCCCTGAAAGAGGTCTAGGTTGGGGAGGAAGTAGTGGGGGCAGCGCCGGCACTGCAGGCAGGAGATGAGCTGCAGGAGGATGCCGTTCAGCCGGTCGCCCAGGCACGCCTCGTCCCAGTCGGTCTCCCGCGGGTGCTTCTCACACTCGTACAGCAGCAGCGTCTTCATGTGGTAGTTGTTGAGGGGCTGCCCGGGCAGCTCCAGGTGCCGGTCGCGCAGCGTCTTGAGCACCGAGAGGCACTTGTTCCTGCAGCCGCCCATCAGCAGCCGGTTCTCGGCCTCGCCGAACTGCAGCACCCACGCGTCGCTCTCGGCCGAGCTCTGCTTGCCCGTCAGCGAGTAGCACTCCTTGGAGAGGAGGTTGAAGCCCTCCGCCTTCACCTCGGCCACCCGGTTGGGGCCGGGCCAGGGGATGTGGGGCATGGGCCACTGCGCCGCGCTGCGGGGCCAGATCCCCGTGCACTTGAAGGCGGGCGTGATCTGCACAACGTACCGCTCCCGGATGCGGAGCTTCACCTCGCTGGTGTCCGCGATCATCTTCACCACGTCCCGGTAGCTGCACTTGTCTACGGCCTGGGCCACCAGCGTCTGGAAGCGGGAGCGGATCTTGCGGGCGGACAGGTAGCCCGAGGCGGTGATGAACTCCACCCAGAGGGACATGCTGCGCTTGCGGCCGTCGCTCAGCTTGAGCACGGCGCAGCCCGGCAGGGAGCCGTCGTCCACGAAGTTGAAGACGCCCATCTGGTTGAGGTAGAGCACCACCTCGAACTCGGTGGGCGAGATCACCTCCAGCCCCTCGTAGCGGGCGTCGATCTCGCTCAGGGAGCTGATGAAGCGCGGCTCCTGCACCTCCACCTCCTTCAGCACGTCCGACACCACCTTGCACACCTCCCGGATGGTCTTGGCGATGGCCGCCTTGCGAGCCTGGCAGCGCTCCGTGTAGTATTTGTTGAGCTGGTAGACCAGCTTGGCCTGCGCGGCGATCATGTTGGGGCACAGGTCCGGGCTGTACACCGGGCTCTCGCAGTACGTTGAGGGATCCAATGCTTTAGCGGTGGCTGCAGCTTTGCGGAGGGCACCGGCCGAGCAGCAGGCTCCCACCCCCTCTGGGAAGAAGGCGGCAGCGGCGCGCCGGCGGGAGCAA